GTAGATACGCACCTGCTAGTGGCGTCCAAATAAGGTGGATGGGGTGGTCCACCGAGGTGTCCCATGACATCAAACACTGTAGATACGCACCTGCTAGTGGCGTCCAAATAAGGTGGATGGGGTGGTCCACCGAGGTGTCCCATGACATCAAACACTGTAGATACGCACCTGCTAGTGGCGTCCAAATAAGGTGGATGGGGTGGTCCACCGAGGTGTCCCATAACACCAAACACTGCAGATACGCACCTGCTAGTGGCGTCTAAATAAGGTGGATGGGGTGGTCCACCGAGGTGTCCCATGACATCAAACACTATAGATACGCACCTGCTAGAGTCGTCTAAATAAGGTGGATGGGGTGGTCCACCGAGGTGTCCCATGACAACAAACACTGCAGAGACGCACCTGCTAGTGGCGTCCAAATAAGGTGGATGGGGTGGTCCACCGAGGTGTCCCATGACATCAAACACTGTAGATACGCACCTGCTAGTGGCGTCTAAATAAGGTGGATGGGGTGGTCCACCGAGGTGTCCCATGACATCAAACACTGTAGATACGCACCTGCTAGTGGCGTCCAAATAAGGTGGATGGGGTGGTCCACCGAGGTGTCCCATGACATCAAACACTGTAGATACGCACCTGCTAGTGGCGTCCAAATAAGGTGGATGGGGTGGTCCACCGAGGTGTCCCATGACATCAAACACTGTAGATACGCACCTGCTAGTGGCGTCCAAATAAGGTGGATGGGGTGGTCCACCGAGGTGTCCCATGACATCAAACACTGTAGATACGCACCTGCTAGTGGCGTCCAAATAAGGTGGATGGGGTGGTCCACCGAGGTGTCCCATGACACCAAACACTGCAGATACGCACCTGCTAGTGGCGTCTAAATAAGGTGGATGGGGTGGTCCACCGAGGTGTCCCATGACATCAAACACTATAGATACGCACCTGCTAGTGGCGTCTAAATAAGGTGGATGGGGTGGTCCACCGAGGTGTCCCTTTTTCTTTATATGCAGGTATGACATTTTCGGACAATTGCAGAGTTTATATTGGGCAAAGGGAGGTCAGCAAAACTATTTGCCCGCCCATGGCGGCACTAATAGGAGCTGTGTCACTAGGCGGTGATCGAACTCGGGGATCGTTTTCATCGGGAAGTAGGGCGGAAATTGAGGGCGCTGATCAATCTTGATTGGAGGAGTTGTCTGGGGAGTCCCCAAGAATTTTTTTTTTCATATATCAAAGTCAAGAGGTGTATTTTTGCGTATATTTGAATTGAATGTTTTTATTGGACTTTTTTAACGGGTGAGGAGATTTTTAAGGTTTTTACGGGAGGCATTATTGTGCCCAGTGCCAGGGATAAACTGGATTCACTCAGTCTTTGGCGTGTCACAGAGTTATCATTTGGCACAAGCTTATAATCAACCCCATACTGTACCAATGATCAGTGGGAATGAAGGGGTGCAGAAATTTAGGGCGCAAACTCAAAATGCAGAGGTGCATTTTGGTGCATACTTGAATTTGTGTTTCTTTCAGACAATTTTGAGGTTCCATTTGAAACATTCGGGTGGGGCGTGCCAAAAAATAGCCATAATAATGATCAAAGACATATTCAATTCGGCTCCAGTGAGACGTAAACTAAATTCATTCTACTTGTGTCACCCTTGAACTATACACTCAGATACATTAACTAAAATTTGGCAAGAAGAGAAAATTCCAACAGAATGGGAAACAGCATTAATAACCCCAATATACAAGAAAGGCTCCAAACTTCAGTGCACAAACTACAGGGGAAACTCCTTATTTAATGTTTCATACAAAATACTGACGAAGCTAATCGCCAGAAGACTAAAACCGTACACTGAAGAAATACTAGATGATTACCAATGTGGATTCAGGCAAAACAAACAAACGACTGATCAGATTTAGAGAAATGTTATGAATATAATATCCCAGTACACCAACACTATGTGGAATATAAAATGGCCTATGACAGCACCAAAAGAAAATATCTGTATGAGATTCTTCAGGAGTTTTGCATACCCAAAAAAACTGAGAAGACTGATACATGTAATATTTAACAAATCAAAATGCAACATCAAGGTTCAATGAGAATGTTCAGATTAGACTAGGCCTGAGACAAGGAGACTCACTGTCCAGAGGCGTAGCGTGGTGGGGGCAGGGGGGGGGACAGATGTCCCCGGGCGCCAGCTAGTTAGGGGCGCCAAAATGTGCTTTGATATTATTTTATTGATGACAATAATGGGTTTGAGAGTTGAAAAAAAGAAAAAGGGGCGCTAAAAATTGATCTTGTCCCCGGGCGCGAATCTTGTCCCCGGGCGCCAAACACCCTCGCTACGCCACTGTCACTGTCTTGTATGCTATTTAACCTAACAGCGTGTTAGGGGCCGTCCATAAAGTACGTCACTCCAGAGGGGGTAGAGGGTGTAAGAAAGTGTGGCAGTGTGTGACCGGGGGGAGGGGGGGTCAGGCCATGTGTGACGTCACACATTTCTTTTTTTTAAATTTTATTTCTAATTTTTTTTTTTTAATGGAATTTAATAGCTTTAAAAATAATTTTCAAAACATTTTGTAAAACATTTGGATTAGTTTTATGTCAAAATAGCATGAAGTGCTTATCTCCTGAATGTGTTGTTCACGATTCCTCTCGCTAGAAGCGCTAGTATGCTGTTGCGAAGCCTTGTTTTATGTATAGCCTTGCCGAGATCAACAGGAGTTTTCAAAGTACAACTATATGATCTTTATTGTCCATCTTTGCAGACCAGCTTATTTGATCGAATTTGCAAAGTATGTCACTTATACTTTGCCTTACCAACAATGTCGAAGAAACATGCAGGACAACACAGAGCTCGGGCTCGGGAGAATGTGCCAACCCAAACTGTTCTAGAATCAACTCAGATAAAACGCATCAGTCCTTTGAGAATCGCTGCTAGAAGAAGGCAAAGAGAACTCATGGCAGTTATTGCCAGAAGAGAAAATGCACATTCAGAGGATGTTGAGTGGCTATCTGAGGATGAAATTGATCTGTCTGCAATTATCCTTCCAGGAAACGATGATGGTGAAAGAGTGATGCCAGTCGTAACTGTGGATGGACAACACTTCACTTCACCATGGATGGACACTTCACTTCACCATGGATGGATGATGTCCAGTGAATATTTTTTAACTAAACATAATTCACAGGCCCATAATAAACTTATTCAATATAGCACAAGAGTTTGTCACATAGTTTGTCAATCTAGTCTTTTTTTTTTTTTTTTTTAGCCGAGTGGTGACGTAGTTTACAGTTTAAATAAAATCACAATAAAAAAATCAGGTCTGAGAACTATAGCTTTTTAATTTGTTTGTCTCATATTTTGTCAATCTAGTTTTTTTTTTTTTTTTTTTGTAGCCGAGTGGTGACGTAGCTTACAGTTTAAATAAAATCACAATAAAACAATCAGGTCTGAGAACTATAGCTTTTTAATTAATGTAAGGTACAATCCGTTGACAGAGCCGACAGGAAAATCTCTCACACCTGCCATCGACCCGACGCATCCATTCCACACCACAATCTCAAAAATGTACACACCTCAAGTCCCAGTTCGCCCCTCCTCCCACACACACACACACAGTCACAGGGAACCCGCGTCTCGAGCTGACCATGGGTCAACCCCGGGGCAGGGATGGTTATTCCCGCGTGTAAATAACCTACATAAAATTTAAGGCCAGTACACAGCTGTGTGTTACTTTAAATGACCATGGGTGTGTACGTGCTTGGGGTTACCCATAGCAGTCACACTATGACTATGAGAGTGGATTCTCTTAAACAGTGGCACATTGCCACATTTTGTCAAATTGTTTTGTTTCCTTTTTATTATTTAATCACTGGGCGAGGTCAAGTTTCGCTAATCTACTTCTTATCCTGTGTAAAAAGATTGCATAATCGGAAATTATCTAAAACTTGACCTCACCTATTGTAAATTAAAAAACGGCAGATCAATGATTTGTATTATAAAATTGTCTAGACTAATTTTTGTATTTTTGTTTTCAAATTCAATCTAGATTGACCTACTGCTTATATTTATATGAATAACTGTGACAACTGTTGACAATTAACTATTCCACTATTTAAGTAATTTTAATAATGTAATAATTAATAATTTCTTTTAAGTGGAAATATTATAGTTTAATAGTGAAATGTGTTTTAGATTTAATTTTAATTAGGTGTTTATTTTTATTAAAAAATTGTTCGAAAATGTGAAGTACTTTATGGGGGGGGGGGGGGGGTGGGGGGGGGAGGGGGGTGGTTCTCCGAGATTTGTGACAGGGGGAGGGGGTTAAAAATGGTCAAAAATAGCGTGACGTACTTTATGGACCGCCCCTTATAAGTATAAGAAGTATGCATATTGACACCTGGGGAACAAAAACATGTTACTTTCTGAAGGAAAACCAAGACCCACAACCAATGGGCACTCTCTACAGTCAACCCCTTCAGTATCTTGCATATGCTGATGACATGCACTGCTAAGGAAAAGTATTAAAAACGTATCAAAATCCATTATTGAATTAGAGGACGCATCACTACCAGCAGGGCTGGA